GGGGTTGGAGCCCGGGGGAGGAGCCGCCGCCGCGGCGGAGGAGGCGGCGGCCGGGGGGCGAGACGGGAACGCAGCTTGGGTGTGCGGGGGCTGGTACGGAGGGCAGCCGTGGCGTTGGTGGCGGTGGTGAGGGGCTGCTGACGGGGAGGGGAAGGGGATCGGTCCCGACGACGCAACGGGGAGGAGGAGCACCGCTGGGAGGACAACCGCCCCCCCAGCCGGCGACCGGCCGCGGTCCCGCGAGTCCGCCTGAGCCACGGGCTGGGGATCACCGGGCCGGACGGGAGGCGAGCTGCTGCCTGAGGTCGGCCTCCCACTGAAGACCATCAGGGGAGGAACGAGGGGGTCGCGGCGATCGTTCGCGCGGCGTTTGGGGCGGCCCGCGTCATCGCCCCATTCCCGGGTCATGGCCGGCGGTGGAGGGGGGAACGCGAGGGGGCCGGTGGCGCCAGCGAGCGGAAGGTAGCGAGGGGCGGCGGGGGGCACGTCGGGGAGGGAAACGGGAGGCGCGTGGTTGGTGGTGGGTTGATGAGGGAACCCTAATGGGGGCCATATGGAGCGCCGGACCGGGCCAGCGCCCACCGAGGGGCGAGGCTGGGCCGCAAGGGGGGGGGGAGATACCGGCCCAGGGGACCAGCCCACAGATCGGCCAAAGGCCCGCACCCCACTAGGCGATTCGGCGGCCGAAGAACCTGGGGTGGGCTCAACGTCGTGGCCCACGGGACGGCCCAATACCAACGCGGCCCGGTACGACAGACCCGAGGCAACCAAGTAGGGGGCAAGGGTTTCCCCGAGCGCCGCCGCGGTGGCCGCCAGTGGGACAGGAAGGGAGCGGCGAGGCCAGGACGGGGCGCGCTGGGCTCAAGGAGACGGGGAAATGGAGGCGCCGAACGTTGAGATGAAGGGCCGAAGGGGGAGCGCCTGAAAAGCACAGCCGAGAACGGCGACGACGAGCCAGTCGGGGCGAGGGAGGACGATGCCGGAGCAGTGGCCTTCTAGGAGGAGCGCGCGAGGCCGCGATCGGCGCGGCCAGCGACACCCCATTCGCCGGCACGGCGTCTCCGGGGGGGAGCCCCGACCCCAAGGGAGCACCTTTCACCCTCACTGGCTGAGACGGGCCTGAAGGCCAGCAGAGTCGAGCCGAGGCAACCGGACCGGGGCCTTGGGGGGAACGCGGTCCCGACACACCACCGGGCGCCCCGCGGCGATGTCCGCCCAGACCACGCGCGACGGGCCAGCGGAGGGAGTCGACGGCGGTGCAGGCGAGGGGGGCACCGGCGGGTGGGCAGCGCTCGAGGAAGGGGACAGGGGCTGAGGTGGCGGCGGAGCCGCCGGGTCGCCAGGTGCGTCGCCAGAGCCATCGAGCGTCACCATCCCTCTCGTTCCCTTCGCATAAGCATGTACCAAAAAAGGCATGCTTCAATCATGGGAAGGGAACTGCGGGGCAGGAGGTGCAGTAGAAGCCTTGTTGTCCCAAGAGGGAAAAGACGGGGGCGTGTCGGGGGTGGTCTGAACCCCCGACGGGCTTTGTTAAGGTCCATGTCGATGTGGCACTCGGACGTCATGGGGATAGGAGAGCAACTGCAGCAGTGTGCCGAGATGAAGTGAGTATTTATCTCGGAGCTTCAACTATCTCTATCCCTAAAGCACCTTCTCTTCTTTACACAAGTTCAGCCAATGCCTAGTCCTGAAACACCTTCTTAAACTTCACATGGACTTCCCACTGTCTGCTCAAAATCACATATCGACTACCTACGGGTGGACCACCTCTCGTGACCTGGGTGACTCCGGTCGCCTCGATATTGCTCTTGGCGAGATATCGCCCGAAGACTCCCCCTATTTTGCTCCATCACCCAGGTGATTATTGGCAGTGACACCTCTACTGCTTTCTGGCTTGATCTTTGGGACGGAGGGAGTACAACACTAGCAACCCAATTCGGAAAGAATCATTTGGTCGACACTAGCATGGAGGTCCTCCCCTCATGCTGACAACACTCATCAAGCATAATTTCTCCCTGAACAACAACAGTGCTTAAAATAGCTTTAGAAAAGATATTTGTGCATGAAGATGGTATGCTAATAAAAAGCTTTCGAAAAGAAATGCACTGAATTTTTTAAATCATCCACTGAACTGTAGTACTAGCTAGTAGTATGCTGTAGTACTCCAGGAAGTAGTGCAGATCCATCCTACCCAACCATAGTTTTAAATAGTGTTAAATAGTGCGCTAAGCATCTTAGTAGCGGACCTCTTCCAAATGCTATAGCGTGCTATAGCGAAGTTATAGCGTGCTATTTAAAATGTTTGTTCATTCTTTTGGACCAAAGTCACTTAGCGCAAGACCTTTTGTAAACGCAAACCCACTCCAAGGCTTCCGCTCCACAGCATTTTCATATGTCAAGCGACGGCGACGCCGGTGAGGTCCTCGACGCCATCGCCACAAGCACCCACGCCTCCGACGCGCAGCACCACCCTACCACCGAGAGCGCCCTGGCCTCCGACGCGCAGGACCACCCCACCGCCGAGAGCGCCCTGGCCTCGGACGCGCAGCAGCACATTGCCACCGAGAGCGCCCTGCTGGCCTCTGAGGCGCAGCAGCACCCGGCCGCCGGGAGCGCCCTGGCCGCCGCCGCCGCCGCCACCGCGCTATCCAGGGAAGCGGCGCCGCCCGAGCCCGACAGCCACTTCCTGCACCTGCGCGGGGATGATGCCGCGGGGAGTTTCCTGGCCGCCGCGGTGAAGAGGGCCGAGGACGCCATCGCCAACGAGTACGACGCGAGGGCGAGGCTCCTGGAGGCTAGGTGCGAGGAGGCGTCCGCGGCGGTGCGGGCGGCGGAGCAGGACATGAGCTGCCTCATCGACGAGCTCGCCGGTAATAATCCATGGATTGGTCGTGCTGTGAGCTCGATAATCGTCTGATTATTTAGGCAAATGTTAATTGTTGGGTCGTTACCTGCCAGAGCTAAGGATCACATCTGACGAGATCATACCAGAGTTGAACTGTGAGGATCTGGAGGAGCAGAATCAGAGGCTCAGGGCAGAACTGGACGCCACGACGAAAGAGCTCGAGTGGAAGACGGAGAAGATTGCAGAATTGCAGGAGCTGGAGAAGGTATGCTCATGCCATTTTTCACCTGAACTCTAAAATACTCTCATACTTTCAGAGTGCTGAACTTTTTAACTCGGCTCTTCTTACAAATCATCTAGAACTAGCATCAGTGTCAGTTTACTTTCAGTTTTCAGAGTGTCGTTTTGCAGATGAACACCGATATCAGCAGTTATCAAAATAACTAGCATCAGCGTCAGTTTACCTTCAGTTTGGAGAGTGTTGATTGCTCAAGTCTGGCTTAAAAGGGCGTGAAATGCATTTTTATAAATTAACCCTGCATTGTTTATAGCCAAAAAATTACAGCGGCACGTCGATTTTTTACATTGAACTGATAGTTATCATAATGAAGCTTCATAGTTCATCTCAACTTCATAGTGTCGTTTTGCAGAAGAACACTGATATCGACCGTTACAAAAAAACAGTTGCGGATAGTAAATGGAATTTCCAGATCCGGCTGGGCTTGAAATGCATTTTTTTCAGCCAAAAATTGGAACTGTATGCCGACTTAATAATGTATTGACCATGGACCACAATTCAGCAAATGCTCAGAGAAACAATAACAGAGAGCATCTCCCCTGCTTACAGGCCACCATAGTTCATCTAAAAAGGTTTAATTGTTGAATTCATCTAAAAAGGTTTGATGCTAGAATTTTTAACTCAAACCTTCTCAACACTGAAGATTTGTTTGTTTGTTTGTTTGTCTATTTGTCCACTGCCTGAATGAGGGAGTATGCTGCAGCTAGTAGTCTTCTCAAATCTGCCGTGTTGAGAAGATTTGAGTGGAAATTCTACATATTCACACGGATGTTTGTTCTTTTTAGCTAGATTGTTGGCACATGGATACTCCTTAACAATAAATAATAACCAACAAAGCTACCTCCCCTCGCATTATGACCCGGTTTGTTTGCTTTCGCCATCTTGACAGTCTTGTGTTGTTTTTATTGTTTTAGGGTGCTTTGGAGGTCAACACACTGGACATGGCAAGTGGAGAGAGCAAGCTGGCTGACCATGATCTGGTGATGCATGAGCTGGAGAAGGTAGGTCATACATTTCTTATCTGAACTCTGTAACATGTTTACTTTCAGTTTTCAGAGTGCAGAATTTTCACCTCAACTTTAGAGTGTCATTTTGAAAATGAACACCGATGTCCGCAGTTATAAAAAAAGAAGTTACATATGGTAATGCCGAAAGCGCACTGAAAAAAGCGTGATATGTCGAATGCTGAATTCTGTTTTTACTGATCATGGACAACATATGCTCAGAGAGGCAGTATCAGAGTGTACTTGCCCTGCTTTAGATGCCAAAACATGTAGGTGGGAGTTAAAACAGCATCGAATTCAAATCATGTATTGCACTCACAATTTTAATGCCAGAATTAGCTTCAGTGTCAGTCCCTCATTCAATCCAGATGCTACTCAGACAGTATTCCCCCTAAATTAGTATTAGAGAGCGCCAGCTTAAGATGATTTCAGTGGAAACTCTAGACAAATATGGGCTCTTTAAGCTAGATTATCGCTACATTCATAAATAACAGACCGAGCTCTCCACTGCAATATGATCCCGTTCATGTCCTTTTTATGGTCTTAGCAGAACTCCCCTACACATACACAGGGTGCTTGGAGATCAACACATCGGAGCTGGGAGGTGGAGAGTGCAAGGTGGCTGATCAAGCTCTCGTGCTGCATGAAAACCACAAGGTTTCTTCTTCTCTTTGATAGGACAATCGATAAGCTCATCTTCATCAAATTCTTTGTAGCTCCATCAAGCAGCAACCGATGTACACTAATACTGTATGAGTGTACATCGGTTGCTAGTTTAGTATAAAGTTGGGTCATCTATTTTGGAACGGAGGGAGTACAAAATAACATATGCATACGCTCTTTGTAGCAAGAGATGGAGGCTATTCATGCCAAGCTAATTCAACTTGAGAGGCAAATGGAGCAAAGGGATAAAGCCCTAGTGCTCACCGCACGGCAGCTGAACATGAAACTACAAGCAGGGGAGAAGCTCGCAGAGGAAGACCATCAACGTCTTTATAAAGTAATGGCGAATGTGAGAAATATTCTGGATGAGGAAGGGAAAAGGATGAAAGTTCCATTGCTAGACCTCTTGAAAAGAGAGCAGGCCAACAGCGAAGAGCTCCAAGAGAATCGCCATGAGTTGATTCAGGTAAAAGTAAAAGCCAAAAGTTTTTTAAAATTCTAGTTGCTCTGTTTCCCTCATTGGGAGGAGTTTTTTTTTTGGAAATCATTGGGAGGAGTTACATTGTTGCTAAAGGTTTTCCTCGTTGAAATGATGATGATAATGTGCAAATGTGCAGGGTTTTGAGAACATGCCGATTAGTGGGGGCGCCGTTGTTGGAATCAAAAGGATGGGCCAACATGATGAAAATCCTTTTCGCGCCACATGCAATTTGAAATACAGGGACAATGATCCAGAGGGCAAAGCTGCAAGGTTGGTCTCGTATTGGCAGGAGGAAATACAGAAGCCATCATGGCGTCCGTTTACTAAAATTCAGGTCGATGAAGATAAGGTGTCTATCCAATTTCCCTACAGCATTAATGCCCTTTGCATTCTCTGAATTTTGTGTGAATGATCACTAGGGTGTTATTGGACAATTGCAGGAGGTTATAGATGACAATGATCCAAGACTAAGCAAGCTGCAGTTTGATTGTGGTGACAGCGTCTGCAATGCAGTGAAGGATGGACTGAGAGAGCTAAACGAGTATAGTCCTCGCGAGCGGCATGTCATGAATGAGGCCTGGAACTTCCGGGAAGGGCGAAAAGCAGCAATTATAGAGGATCACCCAGGATTTCGAGGAAATGAATTCAAGGTCCCCCCAAAAAAATGTTCAAATTCAATATAACAGGCTCGTATAACTGGAATAACAATAGTTCAATCAACTAACTAAAACACTTGTTGCTGGCAACATATGACTCGTGAGGACTGTCCAGGATGATGAAACTTGGTTTGCTTCCTAATAATAACTGGGATAATAATTAAGATGGCCTTAAACCAACACCTAATGAAATTCAAGAACACAGGGAACCATTGATACTTAGAAATAGAAGTTCAAAACGCTATTATTAAATAGAAATTCAAGAACACAGGGAACCATTGATAATAATTAAGATGGCCTTTAACTACAGAAGTTCATATCTCTCAGCGCCGAACGAAACTAACAAGACTGACACAGCAAGTAGAGAACACACACAAAGTCCAAACTTCAGCAAACTCCAGACCATCTCCTCACCAAGTCCATGTGATCATCAGATGGATTAACACATCACCACTCTATTCTCGACAGCAGAACATAGTATAGCAGTCGAACCATGGAATTGACACCTAATTGCACAGAATCCTCAAGCTTCTGGATGTTCAGCAATCCCTGAAAGAAAAAAACTTTAGTCACCAAATGCTAATTGTACAGAATATTTAACACTGGATTTGGACCTGAACATATATTGGACCTTACGAATTTCTTAATAAGGCAACTAAGTTAGCATAGCTTTAGCTTCGGAGTAGAACTACATTTCCAAACAAGTATGTTCTCCAAGGAGATAGGCCTCAACAAGCTCTAGGCTGCAATTGTACTGATAACTTCAAAAAGTGGCATGACAAGAGATTACACTATAAATGAAATATATAGCGCTAGAGATATCGTGTCATATGGGGCTGCTTCAAACTAAACTTTACAAAGGCTACACCATCACTGACTTGTATCTAAAATGTTTTAACAGTTAAAAATAAATCCAGTGCACAGATCCAATATGGAACTCCGATGTAAGGAAGGACTTGAGAAGGTGTGATTTTTCTCTGACCATGTCGGCATCTTCGCCATCGAGGTCTTCCTCTCCTTTAATATATGGAACAACTGAAATCATTTTGTTGGTAACCATATCCATCGTAACAACCGAAACCTTGTTAATCTTCTCTCTTTCCTCGGACAGCAAAAAGTGTATAATACTAGGGTCGTCCATGCTGACAAGAGGGTACTCGGGGACAGCATCGCGCGGGAGACGCTCAGAGGTGTTGTGACGCCAGAATTCATAAGCTGTCACAAACGTATCCCGGTCCCACTCCATGTCAACACTCTCCGTTGCCTTCAAAACATCAGTGATAATTTTGTAACCCTGGCGATGTTCAAGTGGGCCACAGAGCCGACCATCGGTGCAAACAACAGAAGTATACTTGAGAACATCACCCCCACCAGTGACACATATGCTGCGGTTCACCTCAAGGAAACCTCTTTCTCGGTATCCAGGACGGTGATGGGTAGGTAACCCTAGATAAGAGATGGTAGGCGTTTTTGCGAATACATCATAAAATAGAATACCTCCTGTGTAGTAGGAAATCCAGCAAATACAGTTGTTGAACGTGGTGACAGCGCTAGTCGACCAATCGACGAGTCTCCAGTATTGATGCTCCTTGTGCTGGATGGGTATCTTATGAAGCTCCCAGTCCCATGTGCCATCATCATCCGTAGCTGATACACGAGAGCGGATCATGCACACTTCAGCTTCCATCATGTCGTCTGGGCCTGGTATCTTAGTGATACTAGCCAGCTGTGCCACGACAAACTCATCTTCATGGCCAGGGGATGATCCACGAACGAGCCCTAGAGTGTTGGGCGAAAGAAGTCCACATAACCCCCTAGTGTTTCACAAACCGGCTAATTTACCCCCTGAAGTGCAAAACCGGGTATTTAACCCCCTGCCTTTCTCAAAACCATGTGAATCATCCCCTAGACCTGATTAGAGTGGTTTTGGCAGGTGGTTTTGTCCTTTCGGACCTGCACCCAACTGCACCTGGCCTTGTCCATCCTCAGCTGCACGCCTGCACCACGCCGGCGTCGTGTGCAGCGCCTGGATGCCGACATCACCATGTAGCTTGCTGGTCCATTCTTTCAACTCTGTCAGCTTCTTGATGGTGAACTGCATCATCTCCGGGTTGCCGTGCAGCCTACACGACGCCACCAGAGTGTCACACATCGAAAGCCATCGCTTCAATCAGGCGCGGAGTGCATCATCGAAGCTGCAGCTCTGACCCATCGCCGATCTGAGAATACTGCTAGGACTCCCAGGAGCGTTGACTCATCCGGCTTGCCGCTGTCCAAGCACATCTAACTGAATTCCTCCCCATGATGTGTGTACCCGTGTATATCAGCGAGTTCAAGGACGTCAAACACGAGCATCACCTTTGTCCTCCCTCACCACCAGGCTGCCAAAATCACCTATGTGTTCACAAATATGAGTCATGCATGTTACCATGGCGTCCTCGGTTCCTCGCTGGGCTCGAGGCCAGTCAGGCCCTCGCTCGTGATCAAGACTCGTCTCCCAGCTCGGCAGGCTGGTGCTCGTCACCGGCACGAACATGCCGGAGCTGCCGCAGAGCGAGGTCGAGGAGATTTCGGCAGAGTGACTCTCCTCCATCCCGGACAGCGCCGTCATGTTTTCCACCTTCAGGAGCAAGATGTGTGTCCCGGCCGCCTGCACAACTCCATAAGGGCAGATACTTCAAGGTGAAGGTCGAGAAGTGCATGACTCCGGGGTTCGAGGAGAGGATGAATGGGAGGGATGTGGTGCACCTATACCACATCCTACGAAAAATCAAAGCGTGCGGTGCTTAGTGAACCACGCCGGACGAGCTCCATCATGCTAGGGCTCCTTGTCGGCTGCTGTAAACTGTTTGATGTTGTACAGCGAGTATGGAGTACCTCAACGTCGAGCTGTTCGCGGGGGACCTCGATGTCGGGGTGAAACTGGCACGCCGGCACCAAGGATGGTTTAGGTGAGAGGATGTGAACGATGCCGTATACACGTGATTGCAGGCAGATGGGATAGGGAAGAAAGAACTCTGCCGACCTGGTCCCTTGCAACGTTGCTACGTCAGCAAACCACCTCACAAAACCACTATAATCAGGTTTAGGGGGTAATTCACATTGTTTTGAGAAAGACAGGGCGTTAAGTACCCGGTTTTAAACTTCAGGGGGTAAATTAGCCGGTTTGTGAAACCCTGGGGGGTGATGTGGACTTCTTTCAGTGTTGGGCAAAAAGTGTCGACGTGTAGTGATTGCCTCCGTGTCTTCCTTGAAAAACGGAGGCAAGACCATTGGTATGGTGCAAAGGGGCAGGCGTTTGAGCTCGATGTGCGGCGCAGGATCTGAGGATGCTACGCAAAACGAAGTTGTCAAACATGAGGTGGAGGCCAAAGTAGACGAGCCGGAAGAGGAGGAGGTCGCGGTGTGCGGCCGCCAGCTCGGCGCCCCTTCTGTTGGTGCCCCCGGGCCACCGCAGGTAGAGGCAGGAGACTGCGGGGGGCTCGGCGTGGAGGATGGCGACGTCGAAGGGCTGGCCGAGGGAGGTGGACGAGGTGGCCCTCAGTGTTAGACTATGTATAGCTTCTGTACCTATGTATGTATATGGTACATATTGTAACACAACCATTATATATAATGAGATAATCCACCTCTAGAGGGTTGTGCTGGTTCCCCAAAACTTATTGTCTTACATGGTATCACGCTAGGTTACGATCGCTTCCGCTTCTAAACCCTAATACCCGCACCGCCGCCGCCGCCTTCACCGCCGCCGCCGCGCCACCGATCGTGCCGCCGCCATGTCGAGCGCCGCCACCACCGGTTCCACTGCTGCGGGCTTCCTCCCGGCCTCTCTTGCGGCTCTGCTCAACCTCCCGCTCGATGCCGTCTCTGTTCCGGCTCCGATCGGGACAAGGAGCATCGGCTCCGTCTTCTTCACGCCGCCGGCACCCTCGCTTGGGTGTGACCTCGTGGTCCACACCGCGGCGCCGCCGTCCGCTGCGGACTCCGCAGGCGTCGTCCCGCCGCTCCTGCCGCAAGCGGATCACACTGCCCCGCTGGCGGGGTTGGCGGCGTCCGCCCCGGCCGCGGGCCTTGCGGCGTCCGCACCGGCCTCGATCTTTGCGGCGCCCGCCCTGGCTGCGGTCCCGCCTCCTTCCGCATCGGCTTCGGTGCCTCCGGCTGCCTCCATGGTGTTTGCACCCCAGGCAGCCTCCTCGATGGGATCGTCTTCGCCGCCGCCGTTTCACTTCGGTCATCTCATCACCATCAAGCTCTCCGCCGACAACTACATCTTCTGGCATGCGCAGGTTCTCCCGCTCTTGGGGAGTCACTACCTGCTAGGCTACGTCGACGGATCGCTTCCCTGCCCACCCGCGCTGGTAGACAGCGTGCACGGTCCGGTCTACAATCCGGCCCATCGCGTCTGGACGGGGCAGGACCAGGCGAACCTCTCCTCCATCCAGGGGTCGCTCTCGCCGGCAGTTGCCGGCCTTGTTGTCTTCGCGAAGACGTCTCATGAGGCCTGGACCATCCTTGAGCGCACCTTTGCAGTGCAGTCCCAGGCTCGTGTCTCTGCACTCCGTCGTCAGCTTGGAGAGTGTCAGAAGCTTGACTCCACTGCCACTGAGTTCTACAACAAGGTCAAGGGCCTCGCCGACACATTGGCCTCCATTGGACAGCCCCTCACCGACTCCGAGTTCAACTCGTTTATTGTCAATGGTCTTGATGAGGAGTATGATGCCTTAGTCGAGATCATCAACGAGCGGGGCAACTCGACACCCATGCTGGCACACGAGGTTTTCTCTCGGCTCCTTCTCACTGAGCAACGGGTCGAGACTCGCCGCACCAGGGGCACTGGCTCCCTCTCGGCCAACGCCGCCACCAAGGGTGGCCGCTCTTCTTCATCACCCCGGTCTCCCTTGGGGCTGCCACCGTCGCCCGCCTCGGCCCCCCCACCTACTGCGACCTTACCGGGGGCTGGCGGTCCACATGTGTGTCAGCTTTGTGGCCGCGATGGGCACTGGGCCTCCAAGTGTCATAAGCGCTTCCAGCGAAGCTTCCTTGGTCTTGGCAATGACGGCAAAGATACACGCAACAATGCCCGTCAGGTCGCCATGGCTGATCGTCCCGCACCGCAGAAGCAACAGGGACACACTCAGTCCTACTCCATCGATCCACACTGGTACATGGACTCTGGGGCGACAGAGCATCTAACCAGCGAGATGGGGAAGCTTCACACTCGTGAACCCTATCATGGCTCCGACAAGATCCACACCGCCAATGGAGCAGGTATGCACATCTCTCATATTGGTCAAGCATCTCTTCTCACTAGACATGCCAATAGGAGTCTTCAGCTTCGCAATGTTCTTCGAGTTCCATCTGTGACCCGTAATCTTCTTTCAGTTCCTAAACTCACACGTGATAATAATGTGCTTTGTGAATTTCACCCTTTTGATCTTTTTATTAAGGATCGGGGCACGAGGGACATTCTTCTTAGTGGGCGGTTGTGCCAGGGCCTCTACCGTCTGGAGCATCCTGGTGTCGCTCGTGTTTTCAGTGGAGTTCGGGTCTCTCCGTCACAGTGGCATGCTCGTCTTGGTCACCCAGCCACACCTATTGTCCGTCATATTTTGCGTCGTCATGAGCTTCCTAGTTTGTCTAGTAATAAAGATGTAGCAGTGTGTGATGCTTGTCAGCAGGGGAAGAGTCATCAACTTCCTTTTTCGGAGTCCAGTCGTGAGGTGAAACATCCTTTAGAACTTGTGTTTTCAGATGTATGGGGTCCTGCTCAGACTTCTGTCAGTGGTCATAATTACTATATCAGTTTCGTTGATGCTTATAGTCGCTTTACCTGGCTTTACCTTATTAAACGCAAATCTGATGTGTTTGATATTTTTGTTCAGTTTCAAAAACATGTTGAACGTCTTCTCAAGCACAAAATTGTTCATGTCCAGTCAGACTGGGGGGGCGAGTATCGCAACCTCAACTCTTTCTTTCAGTCGCTTGGGATAGCTCATCGTTTAGCATGTCCACATACACATCAGCAGAATGGTTCAGTCGAACGTAAGCATCGTCATATTGTTGAAGCTGGTCTTACTCTTTTGGCCCATGCATCTGTTCCGTTTCGGTTTTGGAGTGATGCTTTCATCACTGCATGCTTTCTCATCAACCGTACTCCTACTCGTGTTTTAAACATGAAGACTCCCATTGAGGTTCTCCTTAATGAACAACCTGATTATACCTTTCTCAAGGTATTTGGGTGTGCTTGCTGGCCGCATCTTCGTCCATATAACAAGCGCAAGCTTGAGTTTCATTCTAAGAAGTGTGTTTTTCTTGGCTATAGCTCTCTTCATAAAGGTTACAAATGTCTTCATGTTCCCACTAATCGTGTCTATATATCTCGGGACGTCGTGTTTGATGAGCATGTTTTTCCCTTTGCCAACCTTCCTGTGTCCACTGTCGAACCACCATCCCTGCATTCATCCTCTGTTGCTTCTGACCAATTTGATGATGTTGCATACTCTCCTTTGCTGTTACCTAACCATGGTGCAGGAACCGGACGTGGAGCTCATTTGGAGCTGTTGGAGGATTCACCATCATCATCGTCGTCTTCTGGTGGGCACGTCGATCGCCCTATGTTGCATGGCATCGATTCGCGTGCCCATGCATGGTCACCCGACGAGCCCGTCGCGCCGAGCATCTCCACTGCTCGGTCCGTTTCGCCAGCGGCCGCCGAGTCGCCCGCGGCTCGGCCCGTCACGCCGTCTTCGCCTGCGGCTCGGCCCGTCACGCCGTCTTCGCCCGCGGCTCGGGTCCTCACGTCGCCTTCATCAGCGGATCGGCCCGCGACACCGGCCGCGCCACGGCCCACTATGCCGAGCTCGCCATCGGCCCGGTCTGTGATGCCGGAGTCGCCAGCTGCTTCGTCTGCTCTGCCGGTTTCGCCGGTGGGTCGGCCTTCTTCGCCAACCGAGTCCGAGACTACCGTGACTGGCTCCTCGTCACCGGCTGACTCGTCAACGTCGCCGTCCTCCAGCCCGTTGCAGGCTGCTCCGTCGACCTCGGTGGTTCCTGTGTCCCGACCACATACACGCAGTCGCAGTGGCATTTTCAAACCTAAGGAACGTAAGGATGGTACGGTTGCTTGGTTGGCTGCTTGTTTGGCTGCTGCTGTTGCGGATCCATCTTCTGAGCCTCGCTCATATCAGGCTGCCCTGCGCATTCCACATTGGCGAGAGGCTATGGAGCAGGAGTTTCATGCTCTTCTTCGTAACAAGACATGGACTCTCGTTCCTCCACCACCACGGGTAAATGTTATTGACTCAAAATGGGTATTCAAAGTGAAGAAGCATTCGGATGGATCTATTGAGCGTTACAAAGCGCGACTTGTTGCTCGCGGTTTTCGGCAGCGTCATGGTCTTGACTATGAGGACACCTTCAGTCCTGTCATCAAGCCTACCACTATTCGGCTTCTTCTCTCCATTGCTGTTTCTCGTGGTTGGTCACTTCGTCAACTTGATGTGCAGAATGCTTTTCTACATGGATTTTTGGAGGAAGAGGTTTATATGAAACAGCCGCCTGGTTTCTCTGATCCTGATCGTCCTGACTATATCTGTCGTCTTTCCAAAGCACTATATGCTTTGAAGCAAGCTCCTCGTGCCTGGCATGCCCGCCTTGCCTCTGCCCTTCGTGCTCATGGTTTTGTGCCGTCTACTGCTGACACTTCATTATTTCTTCTACAGAAGCCAGAAGTCACTATGTATCTTTTGGTATATGTCGATGATATTATCCTTGTCAGCTCTTCTCAGTATGCTGCTGATGCTCTTGTCTGCTCTCTTGGTGCTGATTTTGCGGTCAAAGATCTTGGGAAGCTTCACTACTTTCTTGGAGTTGAGGTCACTTCTCATGCTACTGGTCTTGTCCTTACGCAGAAGAAGTACTCCTTGGAGTTGTTACAAAGAGCTGGCATGCTGAAGTGCAAACCGACCACCACACCCATGTCGTCTACCGACAAGATAACAGCTGTTGATGGTGAGCTTTTGTCTCCTGCGGATGCCACAGAGTACAGGAGCATTGTTGGTGGACTTCAGTACTTGACGATCACGAGACCAGATATCTCTTATGCTGTTAACAGGGTTTGTCAGTATCTTCAGGCTCCCAGAGATACTCATTGGGCTGCTGTTAAACGCATTCTTCGTTATGTTCAGTTCACCCTGACATTTGGTATGCATATTCGGCCGACTTCCTCTCGGGTCCTTTCAGCCTTCTCTGATGCAGATTGGGCTGGTAGCCCA